CCAACATACTGCTGATGGACAAAATCCTGGATGACCTTATATACCTAAACAGTGGGATTTATGGTACTATACTATATTTGGGTCATGCAGGATTTTGTCCATCAACAGTGGTATAGGCCCTTATGTATGCTTCCATATTCGGCTTCAGCGGTAAGCCTGTAGGAACCAAGGCAAACTCAGATTCAGAACCGGACAGGTCCGCCCTGGAAGCGCTCCAGGCAGAAGCCATCGCCAGAACCGGGACGAAGTCCCTGCCAACGGGGCTTCTGGGGCCAGGGGCAGGGTAGAAGATAGGACCATAGTAGACTACATGCACCATAATGTACCAAAAACAAAACACTATGCCATAAGTTGCTCTACAGAAATACTTGCACTCTCGATAAAAATATATATATATATATAACACATTAATGTGCTCTATGATTTTCCTATAATCTACTGTATTCTCCTCTGAAATACGATGAGACAATATACTCTCATTGGGATTGGATGGTGAGAGTCTTGGCTTCGGGTCTGACGACAGCAATTCTGCGGGGACATGAGGCTTCGTATTGGGCTGCCGGTTTAGATTGGGGCTTGGGGTTTAGGGCTTAGGGTTTAAGATGGTTTAAGGATGCTAGATTAGCTTGGCTTGGAGCTGGGTCTCAAGTTTGGTGGAGGTGACAGTTTTAGCGGACGACGGAAGTCCTGAGCGTCGTTTACTTCCACTTGGCACTAGGTGGCCCCAAATGGCAAGCCTATTGTACTTGCAGGAATGGGGCACTGGTATTGCAAGTAGGGCACTTGTATCCGACTTGGTACGTTAGTTCCTTGCACCTGTAGGCCGAACAAAGTGAGGCTGAAGCCGTGTAAGGTGCAAATCAAAACCCCATTTAGAAGAGTTAACTGGGCAGCTGAGATCCCTAACTAAAGCCTCAACCTAAACCCTTAACCTTAAACCCTAAACCCTAAACAAACCCTAAACCCCAAATCCTAAACCCCAAGGGTCCAAAGGACCTGTATAGTAGAATGTATGGTCTCTATATTAGGAATCCTTATTATGGTTTGGGAAAGTATCCCCCATGACAGTACCTAGGACCCTTTGGGTAAACCATTTGGACTTTAGGGCGATGAGGATTCAGGGCCTCGTAACTTTCCGAAGACTTTAATGGGGGCTAGGGCTTGCGGATTGGGGGCTTCGGATTGCAAAGGTTGGCTGCGAGTCTACGCGGTTTAGGGTTTAGGGTCTAAGGTCTATAAGGTTTAGGATTTATAGTGTTTGAGGTTCAGGGTTTAGGGTTCAGAGTTTACGGTTTACGGTTTGGGGTATAGGGTTTAAAGTTTAAAAGCCTCTGAAACCTGCGTCTAAAGCCTTGAAGTGGCACCTCTCTCTTCTGACTGGAGCCCAAACATCAAAAACAGGGAACTAAGCAACTTGCAATAGCAGGGCCTGGAACCATGACAGATGTAACGGAAATCATGTGCTTAGGTGTCGAGCGCCTGCTGCATTACATAAGTGAGTTTGGGGTGCACGAGTTTGGGCTAAGAGCTGAACCTGAAAGGCGCAATGAGCCCTAAAAGGGTTTCCGGTTCGATTCATACATAAACTATGAAGGGATTCATCGTATAAGGGTTAATGGCCCCTACTTTTGAGGGTCATTTGGTCTCCGAAGCTCGCGACGTGCTAGAGGGGACGACTTTGCCGTGGTGCCAGACTCCAATGCAAACGCAAACTGCAAACCCAAAGCTCTAAACTCCATTCACTAACTACATGACCAAGGGTCTTGGGGTAGATCATGCTGAACAAACAACTCTAGAGCCCTCTCGACCCAAAAGCCGAGGGAGCTTCGGCTTCAAAAGCCACGCGGGAAAATCCTGTAGAACCCATAATTATAAGTACAGTCAATTGGCAAAATGGCATCCTTGCCATGGCTTAGAGCGCTGAAGACTTAAGGTTATGCAGCGTTCTGTTCATCACCAGAGGGGTTTCTCCGGCTGAATGGTTCAGAATCGTTCAGGCTTCAGGATTGCAGAAACCTTAACCCTCTAACCCCAAAGCCCTCAAGGAGTCTGAGCATGTCAGCAGAATTGCGAGTGAGACTCCTGCATCGGACTGGCCACCAGACAAAAACTTAGGCAATGCTGGTTCGAAGCAAATATTACGTAGGGGCATGAGCTAAGTGCACATGTCTATACGGAGAATATGTAGTCTGGAATATATGACCTGAAATCTAAAGCCTAGACCCTAAACCCTAAACCCTAAACCCTAAACCTAAACCCTAAACACTAAACCCGACGTTGCATTGTATGTGAAGACTATCTCTTCAGACGCCCTTGCGTGTCACACCCATATCAACATACAACAACGGCCTTCGTAGTTCCCTTAAAGATTCCTGTTCAACGGAGTCTAAGGGTTACTATAACAAAGTTTCAGTATAAGGGCCTGAAGCAGTCAGAAGAGAGGGTCCTCGACGGTCATATTTTCGGAATTTTAGGACTCCAAGAGTTCTGGGGAACATTAGTATAGAGTGTACTCGGAGCAAGGAGAAGGAATGCAAGTCCCTATAAACCCAACCTAAAGGCATACCCCTGATCCTGTAGGATTAGCCGAATAACCATTCGCACCAAGCTTTTTGAGTGTTCAAGGCCCAGTTCGTAAGGTTTAGAGTCAGTCCACAGGAGCGAGCGCTCAGCCGTTTCTGTGTACCACCGCTCTTGGCCGACAGCGGCTGTTAGCTTCATAGTAACAAAAAGGTTTTTGGGCATACCGTGCTACAAGTATGTAGAGACCATGATGTTTCAGAGCATGTGTGATAACTTTCTAGATTTCGAACCCAACACTCCATCACCAGAAAGACCACATCATCCTAAACAGCTACTGTGCAGTGAGTGGATTGAAAAGTGCCTGTATACTTCGAAGAGGTTTTTGCTCTACCGGTATACTATACAAAGCAACCGTATGGCATAGTAGTGCCAACTAAACAGGCTAACCCTGAACCCAACACCTCCTAGCCCCAAGCCCCAGGCCCACTATAACTATAAGCCTAAAGCATGGGCTTAAAGACTTAATCCAAACGAAGCAGACTAAACCCTGAATCACCTAACCACTAGAGCCCTACACTCTGAACCCCTACCTAGCCCTACATCCACGCCGTCATCAACCGTAACCCATCAACCTCTGAATTGAGGCCGAAGGTTGTAAAATTGTAAAACAAAACCCATAAACCTCTGAATTGAGGCCGAAGGTTGTAAAATTGTGCAACAAATCTCAAGCCTCATGTCGGCATTGGGGCGATGGCAAAGCATACAGGCGAGCAGCAGGCAGTTAGAGTTTCGGTACAAGACATGTTCGGGTTGAGGGTCTTGGTTTAGGGTTTAGGGTTTAGGGTTTAGGTTTTCGGGTTTAGAACCTGAAGCGTAGTCTTCGAGGTTTTGTGATCAGAGAGCTTCTGCTTTGGGCGGTTCAGTGCTTGTGTCAGTGTTCGGAGGCCCGCAGCGTGCCGCTTCTGCAGCCTCCAGGTACTCAGCGCTAGAGTCACCGGCCAGACTCTTCAGAATGTGATGCCACTCCTGTTCATTCTTCCTACTAAAAGAATTGCTAACAAGATTCTATGGTACTTCATAGTATATCACAAGGCTGTGTGGGGCGAAGTATACGCCGTATGCCAGCTAAGAACTTGACACGCTGCACCCTGACCCCGTCTGTAGTGCGAGATACCGGAGTATAGAAGCCAGCAAATCGAACATCATGTGCACTTTCTCCTTATCCCTCCAGCATACAAGCTATTTCAAAACATAAGAATTGGCGGTGTTATGGAGGCTGCAAAGCAGCTATGTACAACAAGGCGAGCCCGACTTCATGGCATCTCCGACAGCGAGAGCGCCCTTGGCTGCAAGAGCAGATGGTAACTTTACGGTTGATGATACGAATCCTGCAGTACCTTAAGGACCCTAAATTATGGGAATTATGGCATATCCCTTATTATGATTTAAGTCATCAACCGTAGTGACTTTCAGTGGGGCCCTGGCGATTTGCCACGGCATCGCGACCTACCTAAACCTAGAACCACTGAAAGAACACAGAACCAGCGCAAGCCCTGGAGCCCTACAATAGTCTGCAATAGCCCTAAAGTCTTCTAACAATCCTAAGCCCATGCAGGGTGTTGTTGACATATTTAGAAGACAGATCTACTAGGAACCCTAAGATTTTAAATTTGGCTCCTGTATATTGACCCTCAGGCCGAGAACGCCCCATAATTACCTTTCCGGTGTTGCGTCTAGCGTCGACCCCCAAAGATCAAAAGCTGCCATCTGCTTGAAAGCAAGTGTAGGGTTTAGCATGGCCGTTTGGAAGGGGTAAAGCCCTATGATAAGGTTGGCCCCTCAAAACCTCGGATGAACATGTTAAATAAGATCCTCGGAAGCCCAATAAGGGGTAAACTGTCACAATGGCCTACCTAGATATTCATTGGGGGGGGGGTGCTCATAAACCCTAAAACCTTTAAGCCAAACCGAACCTAAACCACTAAACCACTAAACTCTAAACTCTAAACACAAAACTTCAAATCCCTTAACCCCTAAACTCAAAAAGAGCCTAAACCCTAAACAATTAACCAACTACAACTGCACCCTAAACCCCTAAACGTTTCCCCAAGGCCCAAGACAGCCCAAACGCCGAGAACTGGACAGTCTGGCACCTGAGAACCTGAAGCAAACGGCCCTTGAGCTCCAGGCTCCATGGTTTAGGGGTTTTAGGGTTTAGGGTTTAGGATTTTTAGGGTTTAGGGTTTAGGGTTTAGGGTTTAGGGTTTAGGGGTTTAGGGTTTAGGGTTTGGGGTTTAGGGATAGGTATAAGTATAATAAACAGCGGTAGCACGAAAAACAATCAGAATAGCAATGACTGTAAACATGGTGATAAGAAGAACAATTGTTATAGTCGTGGAAAACTAGTAGTACTTGGGATCGCACTGTAAGAAAAGACATGCTAATACTACTCATCTCATGATAGCAACAGTCTGAATAGTAATCATAGCCATAATAGCAATTATGAATAATATCAGCAATACTAGCAATAATCGTAATAATATTCTTATATAATAGTAGTAAGTCATAGCAATGTGAGTATTGTAACCCCTAAACCCTAAACCCTAAACTCATAACCTGCCCAGGTGCGGTCTGGGTGGATCGACACCTCCGGGAGGCGTGGCGCAGGTCGGCGCCTCGACGTAGAATCCCCGCGTGCGCTGCACCTCTGAAGAGCCGATCCTAAACCCTGGACCCTAAACCCTAAACCCTGAACCTTAAAACCCCAGACCCTACAACCTAAACCCTAAAGCCCTAGACCCAATCCTAAACCGTTCTAGGTTTAGGGTTTCGGAGACCAGGCTTCTCCAGAAGTTCTACATGGGCTCTACAAGGGCCAAAAGGGGGAGTTCTAAAAGGGCTCTAGATGGGCTCTATAAGGGTTTAGGGTTCAGGGTTTCTTACGTTTCTTAAGCTTCTGTAAGGGTTCTTCACGGGCTATGCAAGAGCTGAGGGCTTATTAGGCTTCTGCAGAGGTTCTTCATGGGCTCTTCAGTGGCTCTTCAGGATTTGAGGTGTTTAAGGCTCCCAACCTTTCTTGTGGGTTCGAGAAGGCTTCAAAGGTTTATGGAATTAGGGCTTGGGTTTGGGGTGGTGTGAACGCTGCTGCCACTGCTACTGCTGCTACTGCTGACACTGCTGCTGCTGCTGCTGCTGCTGCTGCTGCTGCTGCTGCTGCTGCTGCTGCTACTGCTGCCACTGCCACTGCCACTGCCACTGCCACTGCCACTGCCACTGCC